ATTTGAAACATTTTAACTGGTGAAGTATGGGGCACTCTTTCCTAATAAGCTGGTTTCACTAGAAAAATAACTGCCAAGTGTAATCCTGGGAGGGGATAATAGGTAGATCACTGTGATTGGTTCCCCCTTTCTCTCCCACCTTCCCCTTATGCTCCTGGTCTCACTACTCTCATTACTGGTCCTGAGGGGTTTATCTGTCCTGGATTCCCTGTGTTTCCAGCTCTTATCTGTACCAGTGCATATCCTCTGGTCTAGCTGGATTTGTAAGGTAGAATTGGGGTCGTGATAGTGAGGGAGAGGAAGCATTAAAGAATTAGAGGAAAGTTATATGTTTCATCGGTGCTATATTGCACCCTGACTGGCTTGTCTCTTCCTTGTGACCCTCTTTAAGTGGATGTCCAGTTGTCACAGATGGGCTTTGGGTCTCCACTCCACACTCCCCCTCATTCATATTGATATGATTTTTTGTTCTGAGTCTTTGATGCCTGATACCTGATCCCATGGACACCTCCCATGATCTCCTGTGCGATCATTCACACAGGACCTTTTCTTAATTGAGGTTCAATGTTCTGATATAACTGAAAACAATTATTAAACATTAAAAAGTGAATGTATTTGAAAACTGCTTGAGGGAGTGATAGTTACTTTAATATGACTGTTCAAGGAGGCCTCTTTAAGGAGATGGTCTTGCACTGTCCTCTGGCTGATGAGGATTCAGCTACATGGCGGTCTATCAGAGTACGCTAAGCTGAAGACTAGCAGACCCTGCAAGACTCCTACGGGAGAAACCAGAATAGTATGCCTTTGGGCACAACAGCAGTGTACTGTACATAGGGTGTACGGTGTGTGCACAAATAAAGCATCTATCTAGGTTTCCCATCTGTTTCATTCCAATAAAATGATTGTTCCTATCTTCAGGTACCTAATTCGACCTGAGTTAACTTTAAGGAATGCTATAAGAAAGGGGTACAACTTCATTCTTTTGCATGCGGACATTGTGTCCCAGCACTGAATGCTGAAAAAACTACTTCCCATTGAACTGTCTGGGCACCATTATTGAAATAAATTGAATATTAATGTAAGGGATTACTTCAGGGTTCTCAATTTATTCTATTGGCCCC